GTGTGTGTGTGTGTGTGAGGTGTGTGTGTGTGTGTGTGTGGTGTGTGTGTGTGTGTGTGGTGTGTGTGAGTGTGTGTGTGTGTGTGTGTATGTGTGTGTGTGTGCTGGGAAAGGTGCTCTAAGTAGAACCGAGTCCATCCTGCTTCTCCCTTCTGCTCTCTCTGGTTCAGACCACTGAGGGTCTCTGAGGTGAAGGTCTGGACTTCTAAGTGTGTGTTGACAGAAGCCTCCCAGTGACAAGGGGGTCCTGCCTGAGCACCTTCACAGGTGTGGAGGGAACGTGGGTGCAGGCAGCAGGCATTCTGCAAGCTGCACAAATGACAAGCCATGTGTCTTTGTCACTGGTTCCAGGTTTGCTGGGAGGAGAACAGAAAGTTCTAGCTGTGTGAACTGTACAGATACAGAGGTGGAGTTTCCCAGTCATGAGCCATTAGGGGGAAGTAATACCTGGAGCCAGGCCACTGCCTTTAACCTAAAATAAATAATTGTAGAGGCTGAAGACATAGCCTTGGGTTAACCACGTAATCAATTTTTAAACCAACATCGTTTCCCTCCTACTTCCTCCTCCCCAACTAGTAATATTCAGACCAGACCAAGTTCTGTGGGGAAGTATGGGCCTTGGTTGGCAAGTCTGTAAGGAGGATTCTTCAAATGTTGGGGGCCTCTGGGGGGACATTGCCAAAGACGACAGCCCCTGCCTTGACTTTTCCAAACAAGTCTGATCCCCTGGGTGTTTTGCTGGAATCTCTATGCTTAGTCTTTAAGACCCGACCTTGAAGAAGCATTTTACCCTACTGATTGTATCTAGAGGTTAAATTTAGTTCAAGCTGTTGTTACAATAAAAGGCTAACAGGGCAAGCATTTGGGGCTCTTTTGGTTCCTAAAGCTAAACAAGCCCCTTAGCCTTCTCTTTCACAGATACGTGTGTCAAAGTAATCTGCTCATCTGTCTCTCAAGGTCTGCTGGTCAGTCCCGGCAAATTCTATGTATTTTGTAGCTTATAAAGCAGAGCAAGGGGCAGAGAAGGTGTCTTGTGGACACTGGGTATCTGTGCTAATGATATCACTTGATCACCAAAACCCTGGAGGAATGGGGGTGGAAAGAAGGGGAGAGTTTTCTGAGTAGTCAGAATAACATAAGCAAAGGCGCAAAGATATAAAAGGTAGCATTCATAGCCCAGCCGGCGTGGCTCAGTGATTGAGCATCAACCTATGAACCAGGAGGTCATGGCTCAATGCCAGGTCAGGGCACGTACCCAGGTTGGGGGATCCATCCTTGGTATGGGGCATGCAGGAGGCAGTCAATCAATGATTCTCTTCACCATTGATGTTTCTATCTCTCTTTCCCTGGCCCTTCCTCTCTGAAATCAATAAAAAAATATTTTTAAAAGTAGCACTCATAGAGACTGGAGAGGAGCTGCTGCTGGTGTCAGGGAGGCACAGATGGGAGGAGCTGAGAGTGAGTGGGGCGGTCCAGAGCCAGGGTCGTGGGGACTTTGGTGCAGAGATTGAGCTTATTGGGAAAACACTGGACGGTATTGAAAGGTTGTTAACAAGGGAGGAGCTAGAGTGAGTGGGGCCAGAGCACACAGGGTCATGGGGACTTTGGTGCAGAGATTGAGCTTATTGGGAAAACAATAAGCTTATTAGAAAGGTTGTTAACAAGGGAGAGACCTAATCCAACTTGTATTTTGAAAAGATCCCTGTGGCTGCAGGGTGGAGACTGGCTTGGAAAAAGAATAGATTTCAAAAGACCTGTTAGAGCTGCAGTTTTCAACCTGTGGGTCGAGACACCTTTGGGGGTCAAACGACCCTTTCACAGGGGTCACCTAAGACCATCGGAAAACACGTATATAATTACATATGGTTTACAGTAGCAAAATTACAGTTATGAAGTAGCCATGAAAATAATTTTATGGTTGGGGGTCACCACAACATGAGGAACTGTATTAAAGGGTCGAGACATTAGGAAGGTTGAGAACCACTGTGTTAGAGGGTCTTGAATAATTTAGGTGCAAGATGGTGGTGGCTTGGACAAGGTGCTGGGGACATGAGGAAGGTAAGAAGTCTGAGACTTTAGGAGCCAGAATGGGAGGGTGTGCTGGCTAATGTGGGAGGGAGGAGGGGCTGGAGAGTGAAGGTGGACTCCCAGGTTTGGAGCTTGGGCAGTAATGACAGTCACTGAAACACAGAGAGCGCTGGAGAAGAATGAGTCCCGGGAGGCAGGAGAGATTAGGATGCTCTGGGTGTGAGATGCCCGAGAGACGTCCCAGAAGAGATGCTCCGTGGGCAGTTGGGTCTGAAGCTCAGAACAGAGGTCCCTGGCTTGTAATTTCCTGTGGGTGTGCCACAGCCCTCAGAGATGGGAACAGGGAGTGTGAATGTCTCTCCAGGCCACTCCCTACTAATAGAAGAGCTCTTCAAAGCCATAGCTCCTCATGGGAGAGTTGAGTTTTTCTCAAGGAGTTACGCACACAGAGGTCCCTCAGAAACAGTAAGAGTAGGGTGGAGAAATGCTTCAGACCTAGCTGAGTAGCCCCTGGATTCAATTATCCATCTACCAGCTGTTTCTGTTATTTTATTTTATTTTTTGTTAATCCTCACCTGAGGATATTTTTCCCCCATTGATTATTATTATTCTTTAGACTGGGCAGGACTCAAACTTGCACTTTTTAAAATTATATTTAATTGGTTTCAGAGAGGAAGGGAGAGGAAAAAGAGATAGAAACATCAATGATTAGAGATCGTGCCCACAACCTGGGCATGTGCCTTGACCGGGAATGCAACTGTGGTTACAAAGCTGAGGCCACTGTATTTTGGAGTCAGCAGGAAATTACTGCAGCTGAAGGCCTCTGATGTCCTCTGGTGCCTGTCCGATCCAGGCTGGATTGTGGCTATCATGGGGACCCTGTTTGAACCATGGACAGCAGGGTCTACAGTCTTCATCCATCATCTGCCCCAGTTTGACCCTAAGGTCATTGTGGAGGTAAGAGGACTAATCTCTCAGTGTCAACAAACTCCTGGAGAAACTCATGTTTCAGGTTCAAAAGCTGGCCCCTGCTGAGAAGAGTGTGCGTAACAAAGAAGCCCATTAGGGTGATAGAACCTGGGCTCTGGGTATCTCAAATGTGAGGCTCTGAACCAGTCAGTGAATCTCCCAGAATACACATTATGAGAAATTAAAGCAACCAGAACAATCTCAGGTCTCCTGGCTCCTCCAGGGCCAGGTAGCTGGTGTGTGCGTGTGAATTTATTGAAGTGTTTAAAACCAGAGCCCTTGGAATAGGATGGTTC